CAGTCTATATCATTTACAGTGGGACAACTAAAAATGAATCAATATTAATATTATAAAGCTGAAGAGTTTGTTTGAACGCGATAATCTTAGGAAGAATTGTTCAGTTTGAGACATTATTTTTGTTGTAGTTAAAATATTTATCGAGGAAGGCTTTAGACTATGAAACATTAGGTTGCGATCATTAGAAGCGAAGATATAAAGAAAAATGTGGAAAACACGAGGAAAGTTATTAATCTTTGATTTCCATTGCTTGTGCTGCGAAAACGGTTTATACCCAAAAAATGTGTAAGAAAAGAATTAATATTCTTTGATTAATATAAAGAAATAATCACTATGATATATATATCTATCTTTATTTACGCAAAAGAACTGTTTTATAGGATTATAATTTCTGTAAAATACTACATATGGCAAAAAAGGTTTCACAGGTCAGCTAGTTACTAATACATATATATACTGAATTGTATTAAGGTATTACTTGATTTATGAAATGTTATTGCATTTCCTGTTTAATAGTATATTTTTAAATAATAATACTGCGTTGTTATTTTATTTGTTATCACTAAAATTTGGTGTATTATAAAGCTGAAGAGTTTGTTTGTTTGAACAACTTTGAAAAATTATTTTGTGTTGATTCTAACATTTATCAAAGAAGGCTATATATATATACGCTTTAAAAATCGCCCTGTGACTAATAAAAACATCACTAATACAGCAAGAAATTAGAAAAAAATCTATTTATTTTCGATTTTTAAATGATGTTTGGGTTTGCAAAAACTAATTTGGGATGCCCAAAATAACACATTTCGCGGACGAAGTCACTAACATAGCTAGTTATAAGATAAAAGCAGATACATTACGTATTAACAACATTCCTAGGATTGATATATTGGGTTGAAATTATTTCTTCTATTTATGGAAGTGAAGTCAGAGTAACTGACACAAATTGACATCCGCCATTGGTTTGGACAGTCTCCAACCGATATAGAACAAGTAATTCTGAATAAGCATGGTTATTTAAGGCTTTAAATATTGATATTTAGACGATTAAAATGAAATGTTTCTTTAAATAAAACACTTCAACGGTTTAAAACGCGATTTATATTAGTTAAACATATTTGAACATCAATTAAACTACGGCCCGATGTTTCGGATGCATTGCAGCACAGCCGTGGTGACGGGAAGACTCTCAGCTTCCCCGTGACCACGGATAACTAATATATATCGCGTTTTAAACCGTTAAAGAGTTTTATTTAAATGTGTAGCTACAGACAGTATTTGATATATTCCTTTATAAAAGAATTATTTATGATTTACCAATAAATTAATGATTATTAAAATTCATTATTTTGTTTAAAGGCTTACAAAACAAATTACTGTGTCGGAATTTTACTATAATAGCACTGCCTTCAAAGCACAATGTAAGGTCTATTGTTAGGTTCCAAGGCAACATAAAAAAATAGGTTCAAGTACATGTTTTTTATGATAGAGCCTTATAACGTCTTAATAAGATAGGTTGTTTACCTATTTTAGCTTGGTTAGTCAGAAATACAAAGACTGTAACCGAAACGTGATTAAACTTCTCGGCTTCTTTATCTGTGGACAGTGGGTTGTGACCCGGAGGGAATTTCGATATTCCTACCATCTATTTAATATCCAGATTTGCAAATGAAGCCCAACTGTTTCCAGAGCCCAATTTCCAAATGTTTCAGAAAAAATATAAAAAACCATGATCTCATAGGAAATTGAATCGCAACCCATGTTAGCTAAACGATTATATTGGTGATATGGTAGCACATATCACCAATATAATCATTTTCTTTCTATCAGTTATTTGTTAAAAAAATATTTATGTAAAAGGACTCAATATGCTTAACCTATGCTATTTCTGAAAGGCCTTTTTTGTTTCGAGAAGAGACATTAAAAATCATTGTTTAAAGCTATTAAAGATGTTTGACCAATTAAAGTGTTTATCAGGTATCTAACATACCATCAAGACGTGATTGTCTGTCCTCTTCTATCTAATTGATATATTGTAATATATTCGATTCGAAATTATATCGAATATTCAAGTAAGAAGGTTTTAATATCATTCAATTTTATGTTTCGGTTATAGTGCGAAGGGTCGTCGCTACACCACAGTTAAACGTGATAAAAAAGAAATGTAAAGATTTGGTTTGGAAAAGCACCCTTTTACCATAAGTATTAAGAATTCGTATATTGAAATGGAACTTTGGTAATTTATTTAACGTTCATTAAGATCAGGTATAGAGTACAAACAGTCATCTATCTTCTAATATATAAAATTCTCGTGTCACGGTGTTCGAACTTGAACTCCTCCGAAACGGCTCGACCGGTCTTCACCAAATTTGATATGTGTATTCAGTAGGTCTGAGAATAGGACAACATTCATCCCCCTAAGTGATAAGGGTTGTTCACCCTTAATTTTTTTTTTTTTTGATTTTCTAAATTTCTAATTTTTTTATGATACAACATACAAAAATACATACAATCCTCAATTTTCACCCTTCTACGATCAACCCTTTTTTTTAATAGACATTTTAGTAAAATTATTTATATGCCAAAACAACGTTTGCCGGCTCAGCTAGTATTAATATATAAAGCTGAAAAGTTCGTTTGTTTGTTCGAACGCGTTCATCTCTGGAACTATAAGTTCGAATTAACAATTTTAGTAGGTTAGGTAATCATTTATCGAAGAAGAAATAGCGAGAAATGTTAAAATTATTTATCCATATTTTTGCGGGTTTCCGATCCAAACGCTGCGAATACTCTTCAAGCTAAACAAATAATAGATAGAAAAGAATGTCCACCATACTATATGTATATCTTTTAAGATTAACTTGCAAGAACGTCGGGCTTAAATGTATTTGCAAAAAAAAAGAATATGTCTACGCGGACGTAGTCGCTGACACAGCTAGTATAATAATATAAAACCGAATTGTTTGAACATAATACAAATTTTCTTTAATAAACACCAAAGTTATAAATTGTGTTTTATGACGAATTGCGTTCTTGCGCCGTAACCGGCGTGAGGGACCGAAAATTTTTGATATATTTTTTCTAAACAGCCATTAAGAGCAGAATCATCCAGAGTGAAGCAGTTTTGCGGGGGTGCCGCGGGGGAGGGGACGGGGAACATCCCCTTCTATTTTCGGCGCTTGAGTTATAGTCGACCAAACGTTGAAGACCTTTTTAGCGAAATTCGCGTTCCGTTTTACGATTGCGTCCTGAGGGCCGGATAAATAATTCAGGAGCGAAGTTTTGGTCGGGTTTTATTCAATTATTACATATTGATCGGTCCTCGGTAGTAAACAAATTATATATATCTTTGTCTATCTTCTTTGCTTGCTACACGAAATTATTACAAACGAAAATATTACATTATATTATTAATTGGTGATTTGAATAAAAATAAATATTTTATTTAATTACTATAAAAAGTAACCTTAACATTGTTAGTAGTTTAGGCGAGACTTACACATTTTGAATAAATCACCTTTTAACGGTTTAAAACGTGATATCTTATCTAATATAGTAATAATCTTAGCTAAAATATACAAATTATTTTAAATACGGGTCGACGTTTTGGATGCATTACAAAAACAAATAAAATATTAAACGCGTTTAAATCAATATATTTTGCTGCTACAAAGTTTCGTAGATCCCTTGTAGCAGCTTAATTACAAACACTGAACAATAATCATATTATTAAATTTTATAATAAAAAGCCTTTAAATATCCAACTAAATGGTTCAATGGTTAAATATTGCCCGGACCGTTAAGCGAGCGTTCCGGGTTTGAATCCTCGCGTTCACCATTAACGATTTGTAACAATTACTTGTTTACTTGTTGTTAATTTGTAACGATTTGTAAAGTAAATCCCCAGACATCGCTAAAGATTTGAACAAAGATATGATAAGAAAAACAAAAAAAAAAAATTCTTCTTCTATAGAAGAAACGGGGACATAAAGATACAATAATGATTTTTGCCTGGCCTTGGGACCTTATGACCTTATTGGATCCCTGGTCCAGTTACATTACAGATAGAATACAATGGAAGCGGAGAGAGGAGGCCTATGTCAAAAGACACACCGAATTTTAAATTTTAAACTAAGAAATCAATTTATGTAAATATACGGAATAAATAAGGCCTATTATTATAGAAGAAACAGTATTACAATTCTACAATTACAATAACTAAACAAAATATGCCGACAACAATTTCGCACACAACATCTCACAAGAAGATTCGTAATAATCAACGTCGAGTTCACTTGCCTAGCTAAATATCCGAGGGAGAGCGAAAGGGAGGCCTGTATCAAGAACTCCCCATAGCGTACGCTATGAAAGGACCGGGAGGGAATTTTAGGTTAGTGGACATGTAGACATACAGACGGGTACACGGCAAATTTGTTGCCTAATTTAGTTCGCAAGTCATGTGTTTGTGCGTCGCGTCTTCGTTAATCGTTGTATAGTGTAACGTAGGTGATGCTGTAAATATTTCATGTGCTTCGTAGTGTAAGTATTTATGACGGTTCGCAGTGAAGAATAGTGCTCTGTGTTTGTAAACAGAACGGCATGCGCATCGCATCGTAAACACGAACTGCACTACGGACTACGAATAACTACAACTTCTTAGTGTTTTTTATCGTAAATACGAGTACCTAAATCTGTGCCAATATTAATTATAGGATCATTATAAAGTGCTGATAAGAATTATTCATTTGTTTCCAAAAAAACTTGTTTACACCGGTCGCACGTGTTTAACATTGAGTGGTGGAAATACGAGGTCTCAGCCTCTACTATAAGATCGATAACATTACGCGTAACGCGAGCGAGACAAATCACCCACACTGACGCTTTCACCCTTCGCCCTCCGAAAGTTTCGCCCGCGAAAGCTTTAAAACAAAACCGAATTTATAGTATAAGAAACGTAGTACAAATATCTCTGTGATTATTTTCCTATAACTGTGATAATAATGTTGGTGGGTACGAATCTGTGCGCGCCCATCATGTTTCCGAGTTTCGTGCAAAGCCCGCTGGTGAAGACGGTCAGTCCTACACACGAGCCGGTGCGGATGGTGACTTCTATGCCCTCGACTCCGGTCCACGGACCTGGGGATAGGAGCGCCTCCCCCCTCACCCCCGCGGAGCGTACGGGCGCTCCCCCGGGCGCGGGAAGGGACGCCGTGAAGCTGTTCATTGGCCAGATACCTCGGCACCTTGAGGAGAAGGATCTGCGCCCGATGTTTGAGGAATTCGGCAAGATCTACGAATTGACTGTGTTGAAAGACAAACACACTGGCATGCATAAGGGTGAGTCATTGAAATGGATGAATAAAAATAATGTTTAATGGTTCGCGAGTACCTGGACGTCGATAGAAAGATAAGAATAGAAGAAGAAGAATATATGCTATCATAAATTAATAAGCTTAGGTAGCAGTAAAACGCCATCATGATAATTAATTCTTATTGCATTTATACATTATAAATAACTTTATCTATGAACACATATAATTAATTGTTAATAATTGAGTCAATTAATTATTAATTAATTTAAATTTAAGAAAGCTAGCTTTTAAACAGTTTAAAACGCGGTTTATATAAATTGATTAACGTATTAACTATACAATGATTAAAAAATAATAATTTGCGTTTTAAATCAGTTGAAAACTGACTTTAAATCAACATAACGAAACTTACATAAGATTTCCTTTATGTTTTTAGCGAGAAGCCCCGATTGTTTGCCAGAGCGGGTCGAGAACTGAACTAAAAGCCCGCGTATTTTTGCCAACACATTAGCATAGTATTGGGGTGATATAAGAGAAAAGAAAAAGTTGAGCCCGAGTTTTCACTGTATTATATGATTGGGAATATAACTAGTGTTAGGTTTTCGTCTAAAGAGATTGACTTTTATTCAAATTTTGGTTGCATAACTCAAAGAAAGCTCAACTTTGTGTTAATAAGTTTATTAATAGAGAGATAAAGACTATAGTCCCACCATGCTACACCAGTGCGGGTAGGCGGGTTTTATCAACAATAAACTAGCGGTAATAATTGGAACTAATAGCATAACGTGCTTGAACGTAGACCCACCGCTCTATTCCAGTGCGAGTTGATGGGTTTTATCAACAATAAACTAATGTTAATAACTGGAAACAACATCTTACCGTCCTTTCCGAGTCACGGGCGTATAGATACCTAATTCAATTCACCCTATTTGGGATTTGAACCCGAGACTTTTTATTTATTGTCAGTAATAGACATTGTTGTGAAATACCATTAAAATAATAAGCTTATTTTTATATCAATGTAAAAATAATGACATCATTACCGACGTAAGACGACGTTTTTATCATTAATAACGATATTATTAGTAATAAGGAAAATTACATTGCGTAAAGTTGGTTTTTCTAAGAAGCTTACGTAAAGGTAGTTAAGGTTGTTACAAGTTGAGTAATGATAACAATTTTCATTTAGAAAACAATTCCGCAAGAATTTTCTCGAAAGAAACAAACTCGAGGTGGGAAGGAAGAAATATTATTTACGATTCTAACAACGGAATCTTTTGATTAATCGGACTTTGCTTTCAATTTCAATCCTCGGAAAATATGCCTTCGAATTACGGCTCCCTTCCGCTAAGATTCTTTTGTTTGTCTGTCTTAGAGTTAAGCGTACATAATAAGTAGGTTTCTTTTTTATAAAAAAAAACAGTAAGTACTATCAAATTGTTTTGTTTTACTTTTTACACAAATTCTTTTAGACACGATTTTTAAATTTAGAATGTCATTTAAAAACACTAATCCTTTATTAATACTATCTATACCAAATAGAGCTGAAGAGTTCGTTTGTTTGTTTGAAAGCGCTAATATCAACTTCAGTGTGGCATAAAAATAAATATTTCTTTGCGTCTATTAAAAACAAATAAGTGGTTGGAAATGTGGAAAAAAACATAAAAAAATACTCACCATAGAGGGATTCCGTTGCGTGCACTGCGAAAACGGTTCAAGATACCGAAATCGCGATGTATAAAAGAATGATTTTTAAATAATCTACAAAATTTTCGCACCAATAAATATCTATCTTTTAAGATTAAGGTGGTGTATATATTAAGAATAAATTTAAACTCTGTCTATAGTTTACGCGAGTAGTACACATTTAAATAAAACACTTTAACGGTTTAAAACGCGAATTATATTAGTTAAACTTATTTGGAAATGATTTTTAACTGGGCCCGACGTTTCGGATGCTTTGTCTCCCCGTGACCACGGCGGCTCGAAGCATCCGAAACGTCAGGCCGAAGTTAAAAATCATTTCCAAATAAGTTTAACTAATATAATATCGCGTTTTAAACCGTTAAAGTGTTTTATTTAAAAATTTAAACTCCTTTGTAATTATTATAATGATAACTGAACGAAATGTACTTATAATTTGAATTGAACTTTGATTGAAAGGTCAGTTTGATGCAACATATTATCCTTTATCGATAAAATGGCTTTACGTAAGTTAGTTTAAAGCTTCTTACATATTAATACATAATCGCTACCTTACGTCGCCTTAACCCGTACTTTGTGCATAAAGTTTTTATAATACTGCTATAATTATCAAGGAATACTTAGGTTACCGTCTAGATGACCCAATTGTTCATTTACCCCTCTCATAACAGGCTCTGCCAAGTTTTCTCAAGTTATTTTTAACAGGTGTTTTAAATCATAAACTTTTACCTCTTAACGTCTTAAACACAGCCATCTACGTTCCTTACAGGTCTAACTTTTTATTACGACAAGCACTTATTCTATATAAAAGAATACCTTTCTTTGAGATCTATTAGTTTTTTTCATAAACGAGCATTTGAAATTAGAATTTCATATTTTAATTAAAAACAGAGCATAATAATGTTTTATATTTTACCATTTTTTACCATACTTTTTATTTGTATATAAGAGAAATTATATAAATATATTTTTTTTTTTGAAACATATTGAACTTCGTCTGGCAAATCTGGATCTTGAATGAAATGAAATAAAAAAAATGAAAAAGCCCTGTTTAATAGTGATTCTGTTTCAGTCTGTGGATTTCTAAATATCTCAAACTAAAATAGGTTGCCAGTATATCTTGTTAAGATGTTTTGGCTGAAGTATTTCATCAAGTCAAAGCCATGCTTTTCACTCCTCAAAAAAAAAAATCAAAAGATATATTATTTTTACCTCTTTCAAGATCTGCATTTATTTAAGAATAATTTTTAAAAGCGAAGCACTTGTTATTGTATCATTGTCTGCTTGTCGAATGTAGTTGATGTATACCAAAGCAAACTTCATTCGTCATTGCTGATTAATGTGAAAATTTATAATACATATAAATGTATTTAATTTTTGTGTTGTTTCTTTTATTTATATGTATGTAGAATAAATTAATTGATTTGATTATATTTCGGCTGAAGTCGATCAGCTAATGTCTGTGTAAAATAATATAAACGCAAATGTTACGTTATGTGAACTTTTAGACGCATTGTACTAACACCAATCACTTCTTTCCAACTACAACCACAATAAGATAAAAATAGACCACCAAAACCGTATTGGTTCAATCAATACCCACAGTGCAAAGGTTTAAACGCGTGTCGACGTAGCATGCCACAAAATGAATTACACTTTTTATTGTTTGCGTCGCCATCCGTATATAATCCGTGAAAAACGCGAGTCCCTGTATTTATTATTGTTACGCTGATATGCTGAATTGTACTGCCCAATGATTAATGGGTGCTGCTATGCATTTTTTAAATACCTTTTCATTGCATGTCCGCTGAAGGCTATTGGAAGTGACGCATTTAGAACGATATTACGTAAATACGTCCACCTCCGTGTTGTTAAATAAGTGGATAAGTATTGTCTATAGTTTACGCGTTAAATAAAACGCTTAACGGTTTAAAACGCGAAATATAAATTAAAAATCGATTGTAAATTGAAAAAATTACGACTCGGGCTAGGACTGGAAGCGGAATTCACAGCCGAGTCCTAATACGCAAGTGTTAAGGTTCAAATTGCGCGAGAGGTACATGTATTGAAAAAAATAGACGATGACGTGTGGGATACGGTAGCTCAATTAGTTAGAGAACGCTGTGGATCGTTGTGGATTTCAGTTTATAATCGATTTTTAATTTATATATTGCCATCATGTGCAATAACTTGTGAAATTTATCAAAACTTTCAAACGCGGGATATGTTAGTTAAAATGAAATAAAAATAAAACCTTTGTTTACGAAGCCATTAACTTATTTTTACCAATATGTGTACAGTAATTTTTACAATCTCTTTGTTATAAATGTTAATTTACTAAGATATAATCTTAAACTATTCTAAAAACTATACCTTTTTTTAGGAATATGAACATATTGAACATATTTTAATCGGTTTCAAGTACAGCCCGACGTTTCCAATGTTTTGCTGCAACTAAACTGCACAACATAGATGAGTAAAGGTTCTGCGTTTGAATCCTAGCTGGAACAGAATATAGAAGTTTAATTATTTGTCTGTCTACCTAACTGAACAATTACATAAACGTGGATGGATAACTCATCTCAAATTAAATATTAGACTCGAAAATGCAATGGATTTTAATTTTAATTACATAGATGAAGTTGAACTATATTTCGATTCTAAAAATATGTAAAATGATAAGTCGTATTTATACTGTACATAATAAATATGACGTCACACGACCTCCCAAACAAAATATATTTTCCGAGCTTCGACGTAAAATAAATGAAATAATGTCGTTCCGTTTTCATACTTTGTCGTATTATTACTAGCATTTACTGGCAATCAAAGTGAAATTCTTAGATAAGGTGTGTAATGGCTAATAATTGTTCTGGATTAAGCGAATAATTATACGGACCGTTCTTTATTACACCTGCAACATGCTTGATATGGGTTATTCTATATTTGAAATATGTTTTTAGATTTCTAGTTTAAATTTCTTCTATACACATATGTGTAGTTTAAAACAGTCAAGGCTTAGTATCTTTTTAAAACACTATTAATATAATACAACTATTATTAGTAATGTCAATTAAATATTTTGCACTTGCTTATGAAAAGAACAAATTTCTTTATTAAAATTATCTACAATTCTAATTTTAAAACTTTAAGTATGTGTGATACAAATCTATACTGACATATAGAGCTGAAGAGTTTGTTTGAACGCTTATCTCAGGAGTTACTGGTTTGAATTGAATTATTTTCTGGTATTGGTTAGAGTTTTTATCAAGAAATGTTATAGGTTATACAATATTGCGCTGTGATAATGACGTAATAGAAACAGCGCAATGTTTTATAACGAAAGGAAAGGAAGGAAATTATTCATTTCTGTTGGTTTTAGATGCGTACGCTGCGAAAATGGTTAAAAACACCCATAGAATATGTATTAAAGAATGATACTTCTTTAAATAATAAAAAAAGTCTAAAAAAAAGACGGCACACGAGCAACGTCGGGAGTAACAGCTTTAAGTTTATTAAGATGAAGAGAAGGTTTGCAAAAACAAATTTGGATACCCAAAATAGCTATTGTTCGCGGTTGAAGTGGCTTGCACAGCTAGTGACGATATACATGTCTAAAAACTTTCAAGAACATTTTGAAACCACGTAACAATTGCTATACAATAAATAAAATTTCCTTCGGAAGTAGGCGCTAATAACTCATAGCGACAAATTCTCTGTGTAGAATTTTGACGCATTTTAGCTTCCACGGCCGAAGTTAGCACGAGCGAAAA